ACATGTGCCCTACAGCAAATTAAAAAAAAAAAGAATAACATATATTATGTTAGTTAATAACTCAATTTTGTAGTTGGTTATAATAATAATGTCACAAGATCTGAACCCTACTTTTGTTCAATGTAATATTTCTCTTATTTTGATCAAACTTTTAAGAGGTTTTTGCTATAGGGCGTGTGCACTCACCAGAGAGACAGAGAGACTGAAAGCGAGAAATCACCCCCAGGGGGATGGCCACGTCGCAATCCCTTCTCCTCCATTCTCCTCTCAGGATCTTGGGCATGCACGCATGTGTGCCCGGTGTGAGTTTAAGCCACCAGGTCTGGGACTTGAACCACAGTCAACCACATGGGAGTCCAGCGACATAGCCATTATGCCAACTGCTGGTCCCTTGATCAAACATTTTGAAAAATCAAGTGAGTATGATGATGATGAAATGAATGGCAGAATTTAGGTTGAGTCAGTGCAAAACAGGGCATTGTGCTCTCCATTCTTCACTATGACAACAGTGTATGTCTACAAGTGCAGACTATCCTCTTCTATTAAAAAATTTGGGGCCAGCATGGTGGTTAATGTGTTGGACTCCCACATGGTTGACCATGGTTTGAGTCCCGGACCCGGCAGCTGGCTTTCTCACTTTCTCTCTCTCTCTGGTGAGCGTGCATACCCTGTTACAAATTAAAAATAAATTAGTTAATTAAATTAAATTAATGTCTTTAGAAAAAAAGAAAGAAAAATATCCATTAGCTGTTAGAGACCTTGCTACCAATGTTATTTCTCACCTTCCCTGTGTCGATCTTCTCTGAAGAGTGACCCACACTTTGGTGGCATTTCTCCAGCATCCAGTCTTACCCCATAGCAATCTAATAACTAAAAAAATTGCAGAGTTTACCAGTGAACTTCTATCACGACATTTTTCTTAACTTCCTGCAGGACTTCTCACCCTAAACCTTTCTGTCCTGAAGCCTTTCACCTGCACCTTCTCTGACACTGTCCCCGCCCGACATCTGTCTTTTATGGGAACTCTGTTCTGTTTCTGGTCCCTAGGAGTGACCATTTTCTGCGGTTCAATTCTTTGGTACCTTATTATTAGAGATGAACACACCGTGGGATACACTCTCCATGGCTTTCGGCTCCCCACTGTATGACACGGTTGAGAAAATGATCGAGGGCGGGATGTGGTGCTCTTTATCCTCCTGAACTCACCACGGTCTTGGCCCCACCGCTTTCTAGTCTTTTTTTTTTTTTTTACAAATTTCACTTTTAAAAAAATAATTATTTTATTTATTTTTATGTATTTATTATTATTATTTTAATTTGACCAGAGAGAGAGAGAGGGAACATGAGAAGCAAACCTCCAGGTCTTGAACTACACTTGGTCAGGTGGGAGTCTGGCACCCTAACCACCACACCACCTGCTGGCCCCACAAATATCACGTTTGATCTGCATAAGCCCTCGAGCCTTGACCTTTACTGGGTGAGTCTGCTGGCTGGTCTCCTGATGTCTTGCGCATCTTATTCTCGTGACTAATGGCAGCGCAAAGACACTGGTGGGACCGGAACCTAGCTCTGCGGTAAATCACTCTAAAAACAATCCCCCCTGGGGCCAGCAGGTGGCGTGGTGGGTAAGGCGCCACACGACAATCCCTTCTCCTCCATTCTTCTCTCGGGATCTTGGGCACACACGCACATGCGCCTGGCGTGAGTTTAAGCCGCTGGGTCCAGGACTCGAACCGTGGTCGACTACATGGGAGTCCAGTGACATAGCCATTATGCTAACTGCTGGTCCCATGACCGACTGTGGTTTGAATCCTGGACCTGGTAGCTTGCTTTCTCACTCTCCCTGTCTCTCTCTCTCTTCTTTTCTGGCAAAACTCATGAGAAAAAAAATTAATAAAATAATAAAATAAATAATTCTTTAAAAAAAAAAAATCCCCGGGTCCAGCAGATAACATAGCAGTTACGTTGCTGTACTCCCACATAGCTGATTGCAGTTTGAGTCCCCAGCCTGAGGCCTTGAAACTCAGGCTGGACACGTGTTTGTGTGCCCAAGATCCCAGGAGGAGAATGGAGGAGAAGGGATCTCCTTGAGGGATGATTTCTCACTTTCCTTCTCACTGACTCTTTCTGTTTCTCTCTGGCAAGTGCGCATACCATATGACAGAAACCTAAAAGAAAAATTAATCCATGAGCCAGCCCTCAGCCTGGTGGTTAAATGAGCTGGATCCCATGTGGCCGACCTCGTGGCTCAAGTCCCAGACCTTGCAGCTGGAGAAACATGCTGATGTGTGTGTGCATGTGCCCAAAATCCGGCAAGGAGGGGGAAAGGAGGAGAAGGGATTGTGGTGTGACCATTCCCCATGTGGGATGCTTTCTCACCAACCCCCTCATTTCTCTTCTGTGAGCACATACGTCCTCTGGAAAAAAAAAAAATTGTGACAAACCATGGCTTTTTAGTAATGCAAGGGGAAAAATCCATTTCCTGTAATTAGTTACAATCAAAACAATTCTGGGAAGACGAATATTGCATTACCATTTAGTCTATAGAAATAGCAAAAGGGTTGGAAAGGAACTAAGATAGGCTTAAATCATTGTACACTCAATTTTGTCCTTTCAGGATTCAAAACAAATCGCCTACAAAGAATAAAAGGGCCAGAAGTGGCAAGTCATGGACCTGACTCAAGACCATTTTGAAATCTCAGCGCATATGAAGGAATGCATGTCTTGAAAGAAAGACGATGATTTGCCTTGTCATTAAATATTCCTTTTAAAAATTGGGTTTTTAACTCACGCTGGGCACATGTGGGTGTGTGCCCAAGATCCTGAGAAGAGAATGAAGGAGGAGGGATTGTGGGGTGACCATCCCCCCCGGGGGGTAATTTCTCGCTTTCTGTCTCTCTATCTCTGTCTTTCTGGTGAGCACACGTACCCTATAGCAAAAACCTCTCAAAAACAACAAAAAAAAATATGAGTTTTTAGGGATAAGCAGATGGCATAATGGATAGTTACATTGCTGGACTCCCATATAGTCGACTGTGGTTCAGACCCAGTGGCTTAAAATGCATGCCGGGTACCTGTGCATGCGTGGCCAAAATCCCAAAAGGAGATTGGAGGAGAAGGGATTACAGCATGACCATCCCCCTCTGTGTGTAGGGTGATTTCTTGTTTTCTGTCTCTCTGTCTCTCTGATAAGCACATGCACCCTATAGCAAAAATCTCTCTGGAAAGAAAAAAAAAAAGAAAAAAAATTGGGGTTTCATTTATGCTAATTGATATTTTTAAAATAATTATTTAACTTTATTTTAAAATTTATTTTAATTTGAACAGAGAGAAGGAGAGAGAGAAAAAACTGAGAAAGCAAGCTGTCAGGTCCAAAACCTGAACTGTGGTCAGCCATGTGGGAGTCCAGCGCTCTTAACTACCACACCACCTGCCAACCCCAATTAATAAGATTTTTAAAAAGGAAATTAAAGTCAGCTTAGATAGACAGATGCATACAAGGCCAGCGAGTGGGGTGGAGGTTGGAGCAGCTGGATCCTATGTGGCCAACTCTGAGGTTCGAATCCCAGACCTAGTGGCTTGGAGTGTGCATTGTGTGCATGCTCAGGGTACCAAGAAGGGAATGGAGAGGGGACTGTCGTGTGGCCATCTCTTCTTTAATCTACCGGGTCCCAGACTTGAACTGCAGTTGGCCATGTGGGAATCCAGGGACATAACCATTACACCATCTGCTGGTCCCATCAGAAGTAGCAAGAAGGAGTTTCCTCTGTTTTCCAGGGGCTTTACCTGAGAAATATAAGGATAGGGTTATATCCCAGGGAGTCAGGAAGGTTGCCCTGAGGTTCTGACTAAGAGGAATGAGTGGCGGGATGAAACTGGGACCAGGGAGCGGGCAGGGTAGCAGACCCGGGGGCTGTCACCTGTTCATCTGAAGTGCCTGCACTATGCCCTGGAAGGCAGCCCAGCGTGGACCGGTAAGGGACATTCTGAACCTTTCTCTGGACCCTTGGAGTTCAGTTCTGGGTTTGCGTGTCTACTTTCTACTAACGTCTGCACACTCTTCCAGACATGGTGGAAAGTGACATAGGTTTCAAATGTATTTTATCTTAATTTGTTATAGGGCAAGCGTGCTTGCCGGAGAGAGACAGAGAGAGTGAAAGTGAGAAATCACCCCCCAGGGGGAATGGTCACCGAAATCCCTTCTCCTTCAGGTGGAGGACTCCAACTCCACAGTCAGCCATGTGGGATCCAGCCGCCTTAACCACACCACCACTGGCTGGCCTGTTTTAAATATATTTTAAGTGGCAGAGAATCACCGGGAAACCCAGTGACACTGTGATCACCATAGGACTCTATTCAATGTGAGGGGACTTTAATAAGTTCATGGGAAAATGGAATCAAAGTACAAGTTTATTTTGGTTCCAGAATATATATATATATTTTTTTGGAGAGGTTTTTGCTATAAGGTACGTGCGCTCGCCAGAAAGACAGAGAGAGATAGAGAGACAGAAAGTGAGAAATCACCCCCCCAGGGGAGATGGCCATGCCACAATCCCTTCTCCTCCATTCATTCTCCTCTCAGGATCTGGGGCATGCACGCACTCACGCCCTGCGTGACTTTAAGCCACTGGGTCCGGGATTCGAACCGCGGTCGACTACATGGGAGTCCAGCGACATAGCCATTACGCTAACTGCTGGTCCCCAGAGTATTTTTTTTAAATACATATTTTCTACAATTTTTGGAAATCTGTGTATTGAGTACCTACATTCCATGTACAGGGCAGTGAGAATCCAAAGAGAATAGGGAATAATCACTGAGCTTTTACTGAGCAGAAGCTCCTCGGACGTCTTTCTCCACATCACGGCCCCCTAGGCCAGTCATCTGGTCACAAGGGCAGTTTGACAGGCGTCTGTGATTTGATTAAAGTGCGACAGGGTGTAAATTCTTGAGGGCAGAGAGCGGTGTCTCGCTCCTGCACCCTCGTGTATCAGAGCTGTGCAGTTTCCCAGAGCACTTGTCAGGCGTCCAGCACCCGTTACGGGATGAATGGATGTCACAGACGCAGTAGCCCTTGGTGCGTGCACGCGCGCGCGTGTGTGCCGGGGGAGGTGTGTGGATACAATCTCGGTTTGTCGGTGGGAGAACAGCACAGCATACCCGAGACCTCACGCAAATAACAGCCGAGCAAGGATTCCCGCAGCTCAGCCGGACTCCCAGTCCGCCTTCTTCCTACCATGCCCGGCTCCTGCCCCGGGCTTTGGAGGGGCCCAGGCCGGTGGGGGAGACCGACAGGGGCCCCTGGACCGGGTAAGTGCTGGCGTCCGCCGAAGAGGTGTGCGCCAGAGGCAGCGCGGCCGGCAAAGGTGGGGACCCCGACTCGCCGAAATCCCGCCCACCGAGAAGCAAAAAGACGAGCGGATCGGCTTGGGCTGCGCGTCCCGCAGAGAATCCGAAATTGAGAGGGAGGTGGAAAGGGGCGCCCTGGAGGGCGGGAGGGTTGTGAGCCGTTCTTGCTGGCGTCGTGTCAGTCGCGGTGAGACGCGGTCCTGGGTCCCGGCAGCGGGTGGCAGGGGGGTCGTAGGGGGAGGTTTGTTCGTCCGCACAGGTGGGGCGCCGGCGTGCCCCTGGGGACCAGCCCGCGGCCCCACTGGGATAACTTCTCCCCGGCTGGAGCGGCGGTGGCCAATAACTGCCCTTCCGGAAGGGGGCTTAGGAAACAAGCGACCTGGGGCTCTGCAGAGAGCTGCAGTGCAACACCAAGGCTGTCTGCCCATCAGACCCCATCTCGAGTCCTCTCGAAGCCGACCAGCCCCACACCAGGATTTATTTCCCAGCAAGCGAAATCCCCGCCTGCCAACTCCGAGGCGCTGGGATGCGAGCTCTGTGGGAAACAGCAGCGACGAGCAGAGGCTATTTTGGGTGTGGGAACGAGGAGGGAGGAGGGGCGGCGCCGCC